TGCTTCCTGGCTCTCTTGGGCACTGCTCTTCTCTAACTTTGCTAAGTCGCATTTCTAAGTGCTGCCTCCTTTCAAATTCTGTCCTTAATTTAAAATAAAATTTAGTTAGCTTTTTAAAAATCAAACTTATATGTATAACTTATTATAAAAAACCTTATTATAAAAGACCTGATGCTTCTAGCCATCACCCTCCCCCATTTCCCACTCCCCACAGGCAACTGCTTTCAACTTTTTAACTGATTCTTTTGGCAGTTGCCTTGATATCTCTGCATAGCATGTTTCCATTGCCACTTGTTGTTGATTTCTCCATTGTAGGTGTTATTTACCAGTTTCTCACTGTGGATGATGACGAGTAGCTTTCTTTGATCCTTCCACCCCCACGACACACACACACACACGTCCTCCAGTACAGACATATAATCTTTTCAGCTTATTCCCTCCCTGGTCCATGATACATTAGTATGATTCTGAAAATGCTATCTAGCTAAGCTGTGAGGTACATAATTATTGTTTTCACACACTTTTTAATTTCTTTTGAGTTAATATTTGCCTTTTTATTTTAATTTGGTTGGTGTTCTATGAACTTAATAGTAATTCAACACCAGATGCTCTCTGTTATGTAAATTTCCTCAGTACATTAAAAAATGAGGTGCTGTCAGTTTCTTCCCGAGGCAGTGTCTCCTGCGGTCTGCTGCCCCACGGTAGCTGGACGAAGCTGCCCGCTCCCGCTCAGCTCACCACTGCCGTTGCTGCAGGTGCCGCTGCTGGTCCTCCTGCCTTAGTGAGATGTGGTTCAGATACCACATGGGTACTCAACTCGTACATTCACAAGATTGTGCAACCATCACCACACTCTAATTTCAAAACATTTTTATTCGCCCCCAAAGAAACCCTATCTACTCATTAGTAATCACTCCCTGTTCCTTCATCCTCCCAGTTTCTGGAAACCAATACTTGTTTTGCACATTTTGTATCAATGGAATCATGAAATACGAGGCCTCTCATGTCTGTCTTCTTTCACTTAGTATGATGCTTTCAAGGTTCACCTGTGTTTTAGTATGCATTAGTACTTCACGACCCCCTTCCTGGACGAATACTATTCCATTGTATGAATAGACCACATCTTCTTTATCCATCTGCGATGGCCGCGGTGTGTTATTTTCATGTTTTGGTGGTTATGAATGATTTTCTCACTCATGTTAGTGTTGGATCCCCTATTTCTCGGAGTCTGTTTTCCTCTAACTAGATTTCTTTTCTCTTTTTTTGGTAGGAGGTCAAATTTTTGAGAGCTTGCATGTCTGCAAATGTCTTCACCTACTTCTGATATGGTTTCACTTGGTGTATCATTCTAGCTTGGAAATCATTCCCTGGAGGATGTTGATGGTGTCACTCATTGTTTTTGAGCCTATAGTATCGCCATTTAGATATCCACTGCCTTTTCTACTTTTTCCTCCTTTTCTAATCTGCAAAATTCTGCTTCTGATTTGGAAGTTTGTGCCCTCTTCTCTTTGTCCCCAAGTTCTAAGACTTCAGCATGAGGTGGCAGAGCATGGCTCCCTGCCATGCTGGCTGTTCATGGGGCTCTTCCGCCTCAAGACTCATGTCTCTTGCTTCTGGGACATTTCTAGAATTAGATCTTTGTTTTCCTCCTGTCTGTGTTATCTCCTCCACCTCCTTTGGAACTCTTCCCATGTGGTAACTCTTCATTTCATTTCTAGTTTTCAGTTTGGTCTCCTTTGGTTCTATTTTCTGAGAGCCAAATTTTTCTTACCTCCTGGTCTTTATATCTAGTGTTCCATTTTGGCCATCACAGTTTCTCTCTCCGAAAGAACTTCTTTGCTCTCTGTGCTATTTGTTTTCTTCGTTTAAAGTAATTCCCTATTATTGTTTCTCAACTACATCATCTTCTCTTCTCTCTCTGGGAATATTACCGATCATTTACTTTTGAAGTATACTTCTCCCTAAACTGTGTCTCTTTCCTACAAGTTATTTTTCTCTGTTTATTCTGGTCGATATCTTTCCATCTTAGTGCTTGTCTCAAATGAAGGTGATGTGATGTGGACACCGGCCCACAGTCTCCATGTCATTATGTATGAAATGAGACATTCACATGGACTGCCGAATCTGGTGGAGGAAAAGGAACAGCATGGCTTTTCTCTCAAGGGGAGCAAAAGTCTCCACCCTTGCCACAACTGACCTTTATTGCGTTTCTCAACACATGCACAGGATCTCTCTACGTGGTTACCTTTTACAGACAATAAAGGAGCCAATGCCCATAATCATATCATAGAAGAGGGATATTTGCAAATGAAAAGGCTAAAGTGGCTGGACCAGTTACACTGGTCCTTGGAAGGTTTAGCATGGATTTTAGGAAGGTATTTTGCAGTAAATGTTTGCCACAAATCTTGGTGAGGGAGTTTTTAGCAAAAGCAAGACTCAAAGTGACCTACGCACAATGAAGGCCTAATTCCCCACAGGAGAACCTATCGGTGGGCATGGGCCCTGTGCATCTCTGAGTGGGAGCTGGGTCCGTGCCACGCAGAACAGTCACCTACAGTGATTTCTGGCTGTCTACTCAGAGGCAGGAGTTGGGTAATGAGGAGCTGATTTAAAACCCTATGGTCATTTCTTGGTGGGATGATCTGGCTCTGCTATTTCACTGGAGAAACCCCTTCTACCCAAAGTGGTCTCTTCTCTTTAGTTAGTTAGATTCACAGGAAAATACTTTCTGTTCCTTTGCTTAGAGGTATAGGTTGGCTGTTGTTTTTCTGAGAATGGAAGGCAGGGGTGGGAAGAAGATAGAAGAACCTCAAAATTTCAGTGTGTTTTATTTTTTTCTCTCTGTTTGCAATAAGATGTTTCTGGCTTCAACTCAGTTCAAACCTTCTGTTTTACCTTTTCCAGAGAATAAATCCTTAGTCTTCTGTTAAATTGCTTCTTAGCCCTCCCATGTTCATTCCCACCTCCAGAAGTGACTTGTATCAACAGTTGATTAGCTTTTTGCAAGTTGTTCCATTTTAATCAGGTGGTGTTTGGTGTGGTCTACCTTTAGCTAAGAATGCAAGTTACTTACCAGTTATCTACCGGCTCTTTGGCTTCTAAAATTGTATTGTCTTGTTTCTTCTCTCATTCTCTTTTTCATTAAAGGTGAGGCCTTTAGAAATGATTTTTTAAATTGGTATTTTAATGGGATTCTGAGAGGATGTGAATGCAAATTAGTGTTGAGTCTGTCAACTTTAACTGGAAGTTAAAAAATTTTTTTTTCTGAATGCTATTTCAGGCTTCAGATTGTTTGCTCACTCCCTACAGGAGTGGCTGCAACTGTAGTCACTACTGGAGCAGGGGGGACAACTCAGGGTTTCAGTCCAGTATGTTCTGTGTTGTCTGGGGCTTGGCCGCCTCTGCGGGCTCTACCTAGTCGTGGTCTGACGGAGGCTGAATGAAGGGCTGGAGGTGGGGCCGCAGGTCAGTTCAGGCTCAGGGACCCTCATTTCTGCTCAGCCTTTCCCCACTTTCCCTTTCTCTCTCCGTGCCACTTCCTTTCACCCCACCCCCTCCTCTCTTCAGTCCCTGCCACTACAGGGCTGGCCTTGGATTCTTCTTTTGCTTCATTACCTCCTCATCGCACTTCATCAGGGCACCCAGGAGTTTCACCTCCAAGACTGTCCAGGAAACCGGCTTTGCGTGGTTGATGCTGGTTTTCAACTTGGGCCTGATTCGTGTTCCTAATGTACGCCATGGGGTCCTTTTCTTAACTGCTGGCTCAGCACTTCTCTTCTGCTCTTGTTCTACTTCTTGGGGAATTATCTGACTTATTCCCAGTTTATATTTACTTAGTGTTCTCTACAAATTAAGCATATATGGATATATACCTAAAAGCAAAAATACTGATTGGTATCTACCATGCTAATTTTTGTAATGGAAGCTTTAAAAAATTTTTTTTTAATTTCACATAGTAAAGCCCTCTGGGGTGGGATCCACTCTGTTCAGTTGGCTTTAGAGAACACACAGAGTATTGTGTTCAAGAACATTTACCAAATCCTATTTTCCCTGACTCACTCTGTGCCTAAACCCTCCTGCTCCCTTGAACCATTTGACTATCTTCGCACTTTCAATGTTAAGCTTCCGTGAAGGCCCACATACTAATTCAAGCTTCTACTGTAGCATACCTGGGCTTTGTTATCCCTCCATCTTTCCTGTGTGCGTTCATCTCACAGGACAAATATTTATTCAGAATGTCCTATATACCAGCCTATACCTTATCTTAAAACAGACTCATGTCTCATCTGTTTATCATTTAATCTTCCTAAAACACTGTTTTCCAAATGTCACTGTACCTGTAAAACATTTAACATCTATTCTTGAAGTCAAAGCTTCTTAACCTGAGCTCCATGACCTTTACTCTTCTCTTAACTTCATCTCCCAACACCCTGCTAATTCCTGGGCTGCCCTGGGAGCCAGTCCCTTTAAGATGCCTTTGAGTTGCCATTATGTAGGGGTTCCAGGGTTTTACCAGAAGCCGGCTTGCTTTCAGAGTCAGTACGATTTATCAACGCCAAGTCTTTTTGGTTCTCCCTGTACTCCGACCCCCACTACCATTTCAGCCCGGGCTGTAGGCAGGCACAACCTCACTGGAAGTCTTTTCACTAGAGAAGAAGAAATCGACCCATGTAACAGGTGCAAGTATAGACTCTTACGTCTTGCCAACGCATTGCCTGTTTTCCTGTGGAGTGGGAAGTAGTGACAAGATTATTCCCTAGACTCCTGTGCATCTGTCTCTGTGACAGTTCTTCCATTTTTAAATACACATTATCGTTCCCTTTACTGCATTGTGTGAAAATGTTGCCATGTTGAAGTAATTCGTAATAGTGATCCTTTTCCCCCTTAAAAAGAGCTTTCTTCATTGGAGAAGCCTTTTGGAAAAGGAGATTTTTTTCCCCTGGAAGAATAGTTCTTGACTACTGTTAAAATATTTATGGGATGTCTTTCTTTTCCTAAAGTTGTACCAAACCTTTGGAATGTCGATGGAGAAGTCGCAGTCACCGAGCAGAAGCCGGGAGAGCTTGCCGAGGAACTCGCCAGCTCCTACGAGAGAAAGCTCATTGAGGTAAGGCTGGGAGAGGCTGCCCTCGCTGCCCATACTGGCTGCGTCGGGACTTCCCAGAAGCGGGCCCGGTCTGTTAAACAGATGTTGGCCCAGCAGTCGAAGCACTGTACTTAATAAAGAAGGGTTAGAGCCGGTTCTTTCAGACACATTATTCAATTGACATTGTGTATACATTTTGCCAGGAAGTAACAGAGAAAACATAAATATATAATGTTAAAAATAAGAAAACAAATGTACCTTTGGATTTGGAGAGGATTAAAAACAGAAGAGAATATCACATACAACTTGGGGCTGATAAATGTGAAAATATGGTTGAAATGGACTATTTTCTAGGATAATGTTAATTCTCAAAATTAATTGAAGATGAAGCAAATTGCCTGAAGGGCACCAAAGAACTTGTGGGACTAATTAAAGAGCTGTTTCCTTAGAAGATAGCAAGCCTGGATGGAGTGATGGTGATTTCTAGGAAACCCTTTGAGTGCACAAAAGCCCTTTGCTGTTTACATTTCCTTAAAACATTATCTATATCTATACCTGTATTTATATACGTATATCCATATGTATATCTCTATCTCGGTATCTTGGTTTAACTGTGCTTTACTTTGATATAAAAACCTGACAAAAACAGCATAAGAAACAATACTATAGACTCGTCTTATTTGTTCATAGATATATACAAATTCTAGAAAGGTATTACTCAATCAAATATAAAAGGAACAACCTACATAAAAGTTGGATTTATTTAGTATTTCAAGGATTAGCTTAATATTAAGAAATTCATCAAGTCAGCTCATTGATAGATCAAAGGAAAAAACAGATACTGATCTTGATAGGTACTAAAAAGTTATTTGTTAATGAAGATCATGAGTCCATCTCATGATCTGATAAAAATATTCTTTATAAACCATTCATTGTCACCATACTCAGTGGTAAAGCAGAAAGGCAAGTTTTCGATTAGGTAACTAGTTTTTATAAAATATGTATAGGAGTGTGTATATGTCGTGGTGGTCACAGGGTGGTATTTATTACGAGTCGTGTGTGTGTGTGTGTGTGTGTGTGTGTGTGTGTGTGTGTGTACACGTACGTACGTACACACATCTAAGTGGACAGCCAGTCACGGTCAGACCCACTGGCGTTGCTGCTCTTGTTAGCTGCCGGCGAGACAGGTGTTGAACTGCCACGTCAGGGGGCAGTGGTTGGGAGTGAGGGCTCCCTTGCTGGCCCGAATTTCCTTCCTTGTGAGTCTGTGGTTCCCTGCCCCCAGGGGCAGCAGAGCTGCTGGCTGTAGTCAACAGGCTGAGATGTGAGGCTGAAGCAGAGATGTTCCTCCCGTGGAACTGACTAACCCAGATTGGTTTTTCTTTATTTTGGTTGCAAAGTGAGGTTCTGTCAGTGATCTTTCATCTGTGAATATTATTAGCATTTCATTACAATAAGACTTTCGCTGAACCCTCTATGTTAGTGTTAATGGAGTGCTTTACAATGTTTTTTTTTTTTCTGATGCTTGGCTTGTTATTTTATTAATGAAATGGGTTGGCTTTTAACAAGAAAGAGTTGTAAACATGCGTTGGAGTGGAGTAATGAAAAAAACGTGGGGGAAAAGTTGATGTACTTCTCTTTCCATTTCAGAAGGGCAAAGGAAGAAGAAACATTTTAATTTAAATAATATGACTTTTGAAGTACCTTACAGTTGAATTACTCTTTTGTGATTCATCCCAATAAAAAGGAGTTCCTGAACGTTATTTTAGGTGTCACCGCCTCCCCCACCTGCACACAAACACTGAATTCTGTGTATTCAAGCTCCGTGACCTGGAATCCAGCGTCCCAGGCAGCTCAGAACCCAGAGTCAACACTGTAAGATCTTTCAGTAGCTGGGGAGCATCAAGGGCCAAGGACTGGAGGTGGAAAGATTATTCTTGACACTCTGTGAGGGTTAACTTTTGAAAATGAGAAGGGAATAAGAATGCTGGCAGCTGTAGGTTAATTTGGCAGGGGAGAAACGTTAGTATAAAAACACTCATTATGTATCTGCCACTGTAGTACTGGCAGCTAGCTGTGAGGTGTGTACTTCTATTTCCAGGCAACACGGTAAGGCTTTTACATAGATGGACTCATGGAATCCTTAGCAGCATCCTGTGAGGAAGACAAATGTTCACAGAAGGAGTTTTGAGAAGTTAAATAACTTGTCTAAGATTTTCCAGCTGGTAAGAAGCAGAGCTGGATTCGAATCACCCAGAGCATCCAGCCACAGAGCTCAAACTCATAATCCTCTGGAAGGGTGAGCTCGTTTAAGAAACAAAAGGTGACCTTGACAGAAGAGAATGCTAGTCATGTTTAAAAGAATGAATGAAGGGAGCTGTGGTGGAAAGCCAGCTGTAGAGAACAGAAATGCACCACTGCAGTATGAAATTGTGCCGGGAGGCAAGGGGGCCCTCATACACCCTTAGTTACTGCAGAAGAAGGGAATGAATGTGTCTCCTGTGTTTGAAATTTCCTGCTTCTGAAGCATATTGTAGTAGATCACAGGCTGGGAGCTCCTTGAGGTGCTTGGGAACGTTATCTTTTAAATTGTATATTCATTGTCTTACACAGCTCCAGCATATGGTAGGCAGTCCATAAATACGGAATGGAATGCCAGGCTGTTGAGTGGATTCCGCTGTTTAGAGTAATGTTTAAAGAGTGATAGATGTGACTTCTGGAACCCGAGATTTGAAGTAACTTGTACCAAAGCCCTGCTATAGCTCAGAGCATCCTGGTAAGAAGGGCTGGATATCTGATAAAAGGAAACATGGGTTCTTTAGAGGAGGCACACTTTTCTCTGGCACTCAATCTTAGGGGGGAAGTTTGGTTTGGAGAGCTTGGAGAAGGTTACAGACAGCTGTAGATGCTACCAACTCATGTAGCCCGTATTTGTTGAGTACCTTCTAAGTGCCCAGCTTGAGCTTCTTTCTCCACCTTCAGTGGCTTCCCCTACCCGGAGAGTAGTAGAGTTGATGGTTCTGGGATATGAGCCACGAATAACCGAGGTTATAGCAGATAATGTTCCTCAAATGCGTTTACTTCCCTAGATTTGAGTTCGTCTTTCAAGTTCATCTTTCTTTGACTGTAGAGTCATTGATGTTTCACCTATGAATATCATTAGCTCTGTATTACCCCAAGGCTGGTCTTAGGTTACAGAGATGAACAAGACACCATGCTGTCTTCAGCGAGCTCCCAGCTCTCAGTGGGTTAAGTAGACATACGTATCCATTGTGATCATCAGGAAGCAGCGGTGAGAGCAGACGCAGAGTCATGCCTGCTCCCTGGGGTCCTAGAGCCCTGTCTTTAACAGCAGTTCTGCAGAGCTTGTGCACCTAACTGGGGCTTCTAGAATGTCCTTCCCTTTTTCTTTGGGATTGTTAGTAATGACACTTGGAATTTCTTTTGTAAACTTCCCATCCCTCTAGACATCAGAGGAAATGGATTTGTTCTCACCATGCATTTTGAAAATAAAAGTTATTGCACACATCCAGGATGGATCTGTTCTAAGATTTTCTTTACCTCTTTTAAGTACAATTCCTTTGGTTTAGATTCACCTCAGAGATTTTTCTATTATTTTCCAACAGTAGCCATCGAAAAAAATGTAAAATGTTGGTGGCATTTGCACTTCCATCCTGCTTCTCTTTGCTACCGCCTCTGCAGCCTGGTGGCTTAGAGGGCACACAGCATCCCACGTCATGCAGACTGGGTGCAGGTTTGTCACTTACTGCCATGTGTTCCTGGGCAGGCCACGTGACCTCTCCAAGCTTCAGTGTTTCCATCAGCAAAATGTAGCCAATAGTACAAACTAGTAGGGTGGCTTTGAGAATTAAATGTAGAGGATCTGGCTCAGTGCTTATAGTAGACAGGCAGTATCTCTGTGCCTCCTTGGCTCCCTGATTTCCTTTGGAGTAATAAGCTCTCCACCACTGCTCACTGTCTTGGTGGAGGAGTAAGTCTAAGTCCTTTGCCCTCCTGTGACCCAGGGGTGGGCATGTGACCTGAGCCAGTGCAAGAGGGGCTCTAACTCCTGACTTAGACAGAATAGCAAAAATGCTTGGGAGGATCCTGGTACCTAGCCAGTTGTTCCTGTGTTGAACTTGCCAGAGACATTGTGGTTACATTCTCTTCTCTGAGCCAGATTCTTGTACTTTCCTGACTGGTTACAGTGATTCCTTTTTAGCTCAGGATACAATCTGCTTCTGCTACTTACCTCCAAAGTTTTTAGTTTATATGAAGGTTTGTATGTGTGTATGATTGGCAGGTATCATTTCCTTTCATTTCCCCATTCCACTCACTGCCAACTGGGGCTCCTTTGTCCTGCCCTCTGTAACCTGCCCCACGTCTTGCTTTGCCCCTGCTGTTTGCTGACCTGGGGGCCCTGTGCGTCAGTATTACCAGTCCACACTCTGCAAACGGATCTTTACTTCCTCCCAGGGGGCAGGACTTAGCTAGCTGCTGATTGATGTTTCACATTTTAGGACACTTATGATTTATACTGTGAGTGTATATAGTCCCTGAATTTTTTGCTCATGGGTAACATAAATGGTATATTAGCAACATTTATTCTCATTATGATGGCAGAGTTACTATTAATGGAAAAGTAAGCTTAAGCATCAAGCTGGTCAAAAATACATTCATAATTACACACTGTAGATGACTGAATGTGATCATCATTTTAATAAAATGTGGAAGTTCCTGAAGCAGCCAGGACCTTGGGAGCAGTTATACCACTGGCAGTGACTTCATAATCGGCACCAGTGGGTTCCAACACTCTTGGTGTGCCTGAGAGGAATTTTTATACAAAGGAAGGATGGACTTTTAAATAAAATACCAAATTCAGGATAAAGAACTCTGAGCTGAGATCGAATTGAACTGATACTCAAAATAAAAAGTATGGTGTGAATTTGTTTTACTTATTTTTTTAATCCCATGATGCTGAGTAATGGAAACCAGGCTGTCAGCTCCTGTGAGGATGAAAC